CTGGGCTAGATGGCTTCCAACTTGGAAACTTCCTGTCTCGGCCTCCCCAGTCCTTGGGATTCCCTGCACATACCACCATACCTGGTTTAGTTACTTCACTTTTTTTTTAAAGCATAGAAGATGTACTGCTTCTTGCTGCCAGGCAGTCTTCCAAAGAAAAAACAAACTCAACCAACTTAGCCCACCCCACCCCCAGAAGTGCTAAGGAGCAGGCAGAATGTTCCAAAAGCGTGAACAATAGTCTGTCATCACCTCCTCCTTGCTGGACGTCAGTCCCACTATCTCCCAGTCACATAAAGGTGTTGTGATTTCTTGCAGAGACCACGGCCCTCTGTGGCTCTGTGAGGATAAATGCAGCAGCGATATCCTTCTCTGTATGTCCTCTGTCTGTAGCCACGCTCCTAACCTGACGAAGCCTGTGGCTGGAGGAGAGGAATCCCTGGTCATCCAACTACGCCGTGGGTGCCAATAACACAGCAGAAAGCAGCTTCTGGAAGCCTTCCAGACGCGACCTGGCAGCCAAGGTGACAACAGGTAATGACTCCCTCAGCTGTGAGGAGAAGCCTGACTTACAAACAGGCCTTGGTAAAAAGGCCCCTTTCCATTATTTCCATGATAGGTCCTCATGCAGGACAAGGATTCCAGTCCAGGCCTGGTGATACAGGGAAGTGCCCGAATGACCTTGAATGAAAGTTTCTATTTCTCCCCACACAGGGTCTCTGGTTTCTCTAAGAAACCAGAACCATTCTGCAGAATGATTTAGTTTTTTTTTTTTTTAAGGCCAAGGGGTCCATTAAGGAGCACAGGGTGGCGTCCTCTAGGACAAGTGAGGGCACTTGGCTGGGTCCCCAGGCAGGTCTCTCCAGGAGCCAGACAGAGGCCCTGGCATGCCCTCCTGCAGAGCAGCGCGCTCTGCCTGCTTCCACTACGTACAGCCTGCCACCCAGCCATTTGCTCCGCACCACACTGCCAGTCCCCACTGCCAGGATGAGTCACTGTGCAATGCGTCCCCTCATCCCCTCCACTCCTCACTTAAAATACCCTGGGGCTGGCGGGGAAGGGCCCTGCCTGTGTGAGCACGCATGTAAACCTGGGCTTGGCAGCCTGGCCCTCCTCAGCCTCTGCAGAGAGGACTGCATTATGTTTTCCAACAGTTGGAGGGCTTCGGCTTTGCAGCTCTGCTTTTCCCCACGCAGCCGGCCAAGTCGCACGCACCCCTTCAGGAACCTTCCCTTAGCCTCTGGTCTGCAGCACCAGGACCTCACTGCTGGCAGTGTCTCTGTCCCATCTTGGCTTCTGCCTGGCCACCTTGCTACAATCAGGGCTGCCCCGTCCTGCTTTCATCTGCTGCGCTTTCCCACCTCTGCCCCCAGGACTCTGCCTCCATCCCAATAGCATCTGGTTGCTTCTTCCTTGGACCAGCCATTCTCCCTCCTCAGAGGGTCCCAACCCCTTGCTATCTGCTGTCCGCTGTCCTTCCTGCTCTCTGCTTTTCCTCTATCCACCCACACAGCATTAGCCCAGGGCAGAACCAATCACAGGACTCCAGAACCATCCCTCTTCCCTAGCTGCCAAGAGAAAAGCAGGGGAAATCACCCCACCCCATCTTTACCCCACACTAAGGACTTTCCTCTTGCAAAGAAGCCCTGTGTTCCTTCTCCCGGCTCCTATGGAACACTCTTGGACCCCCAAGGCCTGCACTGCCTTCCACCCAGCCACGAACCACACACGCTTTCTTCTCACCCTGCTGCTACAGCACCTGCACAGGAGGGGCCTGGGACACGGCCCGCCCAGTGCAACCCGCAGGAACATTATGTACCGGAGTTGTTCATGACTTGAGTGAGAGGAGGTCACGGGGCAGGAAGCAGGTTGGGAAGCAAAGGGAAAGGTGGCCTAGAGGGTGGGGCATCCGTCGGGGTGACCTTCCAGGGCCTGATGGGAATGCAAAGTCCTGGCAGGGCCTGTGTGGCAGAGTGGGAAGGTGGTAAGGTGAGAGCCACAGCCCCAAAGTTAGACAAGGTCATGAGGAAATACAGTAGTGGGTTATAATTAAGCCAACGACTTCACAGCACATGTTAGGCACCCAGCTCCAAATTTAAAGCTTTACCACCACCACCCCACGGAATCCTTGCTACAATATTTCACTTCAATTTTACAACCGAGGGGACAGCCCAGGAGACAAGCGACTTACCCAAGGTCACACGGTGGCACGGTGCTGAAGCTGGGAACATGAATGGGTCTGTTCTGCTCGTCCCCAGGCTGTGCTATGTGGGGAGAGGCTGGCAGGCTGGGCGGTGGCGGGTGTGGTGACCCCCAGGGTGGAGAGCGTTTTTCAGCAGCGATATCAGGTTGGGATGCAAACATGGGAGCATCTAGGAATGAACCAAGGGAGAGCAAAGCTAGAAGACTGCAGTTTGAGGGGGAGCTGTCTGCCCGAGGAAGACAGCAGGTGAAAGACAAGACAGAGTGCTGATCTTTGAGCCAGCCAGAGCCTCCTCCTACTCGGCATCAGCCATACATCCCTGGAGAGCTAAGGTCGGACACTTCTTTTTTTCAGACAAAAAGTTCTAGTTCAAACTTTGTCACTGTGAGCCTCTCTGTGCGTGCCTTGTTTTACCACCTGCTTCTTGGGGGAGAGAAGGAGAAAGAGATGAAGGTGGGGTGGGAAGAATAGAGTTGGCTCAGGAAGAGAACCACATGTCCTTCAACCACCGCATCCCTCCCCTTTCTCTGGGGCTGATTCTGGCGGTGGAGACTCTTCCCTCTTACATTTGTGGGCGCCCAACAAACATGTCCACCCTGCGAGAGAAACTCCTGCAAGAGACAACCTTTCCCCGCGGTTCTTCCATCAACTCTGGGCTTTTCCAACCCTCACTGCAGGGGCTGGTTGAGCACGTGGCTGCCTCTCCCCTCACTCTGGAATCACCAGGCGGTCTGGGGACTTGCAAGTGGACCTCTACATCCCGGCCCGGCTTGCCTGAGGCCTGCAGGGTTGCCCTCAGGGGTGACCTTGGGGTCCGGTGGCCTGAGCAGCACCTCCTCCGTGTTGAAGAAGCCCTCCTTCTGAGGCCGATCCTTTCCACAGGGCTCCCGCTGAGCACAGGGCCGCGGCTTCTAGGCAGGGACTCGGGTGTCCCCCGGTTTTCCGCCGTGTCACTGCCGGTGTACACGTGTGAGGCCCTGGGGCTCAGCGGAGGGCTAGGAGCACGCGAGCGGCTTCTCTAGGACTCGGGGTAAAGGACGGAAGGGAACTGCCTCACAGGTCGGGTGAGCCACGTTTGGTCCCGGGAGCTGTTTTCCCACGTGCACTTCGCCCCGGCCCCGCAGCGCGGTCGGTGGTCGGTGCCCTCCCTCACGGGGGCAGAAAAGCCTGCCAGGGAGCACACCGGCCACCACCG